TCAACATAGCTCCCTTTTCTTTTTGGTTTTCTTGGGCATGTGGATCACACATATATGCACTTAAGAATGTGCAATTGGTTCAAATTCATTATGGATTGTCTCATTGTGTTATTAAATTTAGACATGATGTAGTAATCACCTTTTCATATTTTAGGTGAATTGTTTAAGAACAGGTTGGCATCTGTGGAATAGAGTTATGGCTTGCTCTAAAGCTGGGAGTTGTAGAGTATCAAAGCCAATACAAGCCAATGATGCTACGGGGAAGCCACGGATTCTACTTGCTGCTACATGAAGTGTAGCTACCTTAAGGTTTGGTAATATCTACCATAATTTTTCTCAATGGGCAGAAGTAAAAGCAGTTGCCATAGAAGGAGCTTTGCATTTCCTTGATAGAGCATCACTTCCCAATAATGAAATTCTTTACACTTATGGGGATGAGTGGTCCAGTTGGAACAATATGGGTGATAGCGTGCTTCACATCGAGCTTCGTTGTTGGGCTGATATCATGGTTATTGCTCCATTATCAGCAAACACATTGAGCGAGGTAATATTTCGTAACCTGGATGTCTCATTATTTTATAAAGTTGTTTTGAGTTAGTATATGGTAGAAAAGGTCATACCTAGCTAAAACTGAAAGTACCTTCTGGCATTAACCTTCTAAGATACAACCTTTTGAGATTATCAAATGGATAAGAACAATCTCATTCACAAGGCAACCAAGCTGACAATTGTTTTATATTTGGGACTTATCAGTGAAATTTAGTTGTTTTTAGGCAACTGCATCTTGCGAGGAGTTGCAGAAAGCAGAGAAGGTGCATGCTTTAGAGTTAGGGATTGTATTGCTTCATGATTGCCTTATTTTCTTGTCATTTCACTCAGACAAGAAAATACAAATTAATTTTCTTTGGTAAATTTGGCCCAATATCATTAATTGTATACATACATGCATGTATGTTTGTTTGTCTTTGCTCTGCTTTATTTGGTTTAATGTCTGAAATCTATAGTTTGTACTCATACATTTGTGTATGTGTTTTATAATTGATGTTCCATGTTTGTGTAGATTGCTGAGGGATTGTATGACAATCTACTTACCTGTGTTGTACATGCATGAGATTACAGCAAGCCTTTTTTTGTTGCACCAGCCATGAACACCTTATTGTGGAGCAGTCCCTTCACGGAGCAACATATGATGTCTATTGATGACCAAGGAATTTCTCTCGTCTCACCAATCAATGGTGCAATGGCTGAACCTTCCATAATCCACCCTACTGTAAGACTCTTTTACAGTCATGATTTCAACAATGTGACGTTATTTCTTAGCAAGATGTTTTCTTTGTGATTTGTTGGGCATGCAGACTGGTCTAAATTGAGGCTTTATGCATAGCTTGATTTTCTTTTGTTTTAATAACATGTTGGCATCTCATGAATAGGTTATGGCTTGTGCTGGACCTAAGATATCTCTTTGGGAGCCAACGCAAGATGACGCTGCTCTAAGCAAACCACAGATTCTCCTCGCTACTAGCGGAAGTATAGCTGCCACAAAGTTTGCTCACCTATGCTGTAGTTTTTCTGGATGGTCAAAAGTAAGAGCAATTGCTACAAAAACATCTTTTCATTTCATTGATAGAGCATCACTCTCCAGGGATGTAATACTTTACACTGATGAGGATGAACGGTCCAGATGGAACACAACATGTGATAGCTTGCTTCCCATTGAGCTCTGCAGTTGGGCTAATATAATGGTTATTGCCCTATTATCAGCAAACACACTAAGCAAGGTAATATTTAACATTTTGGAAATCTCATTACCTTATAAAGTTGTTTTAAGTTAGTATTTCAAAAGAAACTTTCTTTTTCTTATGTTTCCGTAAATTGCTAAGGGATTGTGTGATAATTTGCTCTCCTTTGTTGGATATGCATGGGATTTCAGCAAGCCTTTATTTGTTGCACCGGCCATGAACACCTTGATGTGGAACAATCCGTTCACGCAATGACATATCAGGACGATCAAAGATGAACTTAGAATTTCACTTATCCTTCCTCTCACTATAAATGGTGCAATGGCTGAAATTGATGAGATTTACTGTGTTGTACGACGATGTTTACTATCACGAACTTTGAGAGGCCATGTTGCCAGTATATAAATGTTGTTTAGCAAGCAGTGTAACGCTGCCATCTTAAGACCTGATCATAGAATTTGAATTGCAATGTATAATTGGATGTCATCTTTGCTATTGTGGATATCATATCACCCTCAACACGAGACTGATGTTATCTTAAATGATGACTCTCTCACGTCCATAATTACTGAAAGCATCTTGACCTTTTATCAATGTGGTAAAACGAAAGGAGCACCTTCTATTAAGAGAGTGCAATATTGATGCAATGAAAGAATTTGGCTAACGTGAATTGCCCATTTGAATCTGGGTAATTTATGACCATTCACCATATATGAGTTCCCCAATTATCCACGACCAAAAATCATATACTAATTGACTGCATCATAGCTCTCAATTTTAATTTATGACTATTGATGAAATAGGGGTTTCCCAATCATCTACTGCCAGAAATTGTACATCAATTGACTGTAACCTAGCTCTCTAGTATAATTTATGACCACTAATTGAATATGGGTTCATTTATTATCTATGACCATAAATTGTACACCAATTGAACTGTAGCATAGCTCTCTATAGTAACTTATGAACATTGACCAAATATGGGTTCCCCAATTATATACGGCCAAAAATGATGCACGTAATTATCTAAAGGTAGGGGAAGCATGCATTGGCGACTTCATTTTTATTGGGCCAGACATTTCTCGCAATAAACCAAACACAACGTTGTTTATGGTTATATAAAATGAACCAATCAAATGAAATTTAGTTAACCTAATTTATGAGGTTTCCTCTAATGTCACAAAGATTATCGTAAAAAATATTGCACCCAACACGAGCCTTAGGACTTACATTTCTTGCAACAAACCAAACACAATGTTGTTTATGGTTATGTAAAGTGGACCAATCAAATGAAGTTCAGTTAACCCTCTTTATGAGGTTTCCTCTAACATCACAAAGATCACACTGAACTTGGGCCTCATGGCAAACATTTCTCACAAGAAACCAAGACAACATTGTTTATGGTTATGTAAAATGGACCAATCAAATGAAGTTTAGTTAACCCATTTTATGAAGGTTCCTCTGACGTCACAAAGATCAGACCCAAACCCGAGTCTCAGATACAATGTTATTGGTCAAAGTTAATTGGAGAAACAATAATTCTGACAAAGCACATTGTGTGTATGTTGCCACCTACTCTAACATAAAAGAGGGAGATTCAAATTCAAAAGCCAATTAACGTAACTCACTTTTAGTACGTTTCAACACTTCTAATCCTAGAAATAAATACTCAAATTACATTACTTAATACTAATTTTACCATTAGAAACAAATATCCAAAATACACAAAAGTGGATGATGCAAGCAGAGTTCATGTTATAATGACGCCATTTCTTTTAATAATTTTTGTCATTTGTAGAAAATGCTTAATGGGGAAAATAAGGTTATTTACTAAAATGGTCCTCAAATTTATGCCCAAATTGCATTTTAGTCCCTCAATTAAATTATTCTTTCAAATGATCCATCAACTCTTTATTAATCGACGAATTTGTCATACCATTACATTTTCTATTAAATTTAGTCATGTGAGCAGCACATGTCATTTGTTGGAGTAAATAAGACGTTTGACAACTAAAATAAAATAAAATATATGGTTAAAAATTAATACAAAATTTTCTTTATTTTTAAATTAATTAAAAATTGAAAAATACTAGTCTTACCACATTTTTTATACCACAATTTTATACCACATGATGTGGCAGCTGATGTGTATATACCACATCATGTAAAATACTAGTTTTTGTTTTTCTAATTTTATTTATTAAAATACACTTTATTCATTTAATTGATGTGGCATATGATATGGATATGCCACATTATGTGGTATAGAAATGTGGGATAATAATATAGTAAGTGTAGCATTACTCTTAAAAATTATAAAAGAATAAAACAACAACAAAAAGTAACCCCAAAAAAAAAAAAAAAAACCAACCACCAAACCTCTCTCCTAGCCTCTTCCTCTCTCTCCCTTTCGCCTTCACTTTCCTAAATTTAGTAGAGGGCATGCATACGTGTCTACATGGGTTTGGGTTTGTTTGAAGAGAGAAAAGGGGAAGAGAGAGATAGAGGAAGCGATGAGGAGGGGACAGGGAGGGAGGGAGGGGAAGAGAGGGTGGGGTGCGTGGAGGAGAAGATGGGGTGCTAGGGCGATGGTTATCAAGCTAGGGGCTGAGAGGTGGGAGAGGGAGAGAGGTTTTTTTCCTTTTGATTTTTAGTTTTTAATTTAATTTATTTAACTGGACTATTTTATTCTTACATTTGACAACAACATTGACAAAATATAATGGTATGACTAATTCACCGATTAATATAGAGTTGGTGGACTATTTGAACGAATAATTTAATTAAAAGACCAAAATATAACTCGAATATAAGTTTGAAAATCATTTGAATGAATAACTCGGAGAAAATAATATAAAGAATGACGTACATACCAAATACCATGACAGAGAAAGAAAATCCTTAAAAATGAAAAAGAAACAAAGATGCATTGAACCCCACCCAACTTTTGTACCAAAAATTGAAATCATGCATGTACCTCAAAAAAAGAAAATTAATAATAAATCACCACCTAACTGTCCTAACCCAATCATTAAATTGCCCCCAAAACCCAATTAAACAACAATTAATCACTCGCGTGTTAAGCCATGAGCCAGAGACAAAAAGGAAACAAGGAATTCTTGATCAAGCGTGTGAAGGCAAAATGGGGTCTGGGGCAAGCACGCACCGAAAAGCACAATCCAAAATTAATATTAATTACTTTTAATTAAGTCTTTTTTTAAAGAAAAAAATTTGAAACAATATTTACGATTACGCCACCGAATGAAAACCTCACCAGCGCTTTCGCTTTTTCTCTCTCCGACAGTGGAAAATTATAGAGAGAGAAACTCGACCTTCTCTGAAGTCCTCTGAGTCCTGTGACCTTTTTGTTTTCAACGATGGCGGGTTTAAGAGTTTCTAGGGTTTTGTGACGAATCGATTTCTCCAAAGTCTCGATGGAAATGCCCGGTAGGAGATCGAACTACACGCTTCTGAGCCAAGTCCCCGACGAACAGACGGCGGCGTTTTACGAGTCGGAGAGCAAGAACAACAAGGGAAAAGCTGAGAGAGGATTCGAGTGGGAAACTGGAGGGGATTTTCGGGCGAATCGGGTCGGGAACCCGTACTCGTCAGTCGGGTTACAGAGGCAGTCGAGTGGGAGCAGTTTCGGCGAGAGCTCGCTCTCCGGCGAATACTACGCTCCGACTCTATCGAATACAGCGGCGAATGAGATCGATGGGTTCGGGTACGTGCCCGACGATGTGTTCAAGGTTGGGGGAGGTGGTGAATTTCGAATTAAAGGTGGGGATGGAGCTGTAGGGACCACCGGTGGCGGTGGCTCGTCTTCGGGGAAGAGCTGGGCTCAGCAGACTGAGGAGAGTTATCAGCTGCAGCTGGCTTTGGCTCTTCGGCTGTCTTCGGAGGCCACTTGCGCCGATGATCCCAATTTCTTGGATCTAGTGCCGGATGTATCGGCATCGAGGTCGTCCGGCTCCGTTGACGCTGTTTCGCATCGGTTTTGGGTAGGGTTTCTTGTGCTTTCTGTCCTCAATGGATATTTTTTGATATGCTATGTTACATTGGGTGTTTGGTTTGCTGCTTTGCTTTGTTAACTGAGTCAATTTATATGCTCATTTTCACGTATTTTGAGCTGAATTCTTAGTGTCTTACGAATTATGTCTTAATCATATTGATAAACTAACATTATATCTGAAATGCCCTATATTATTCCATTCCTTTCACGTGCTTCACATCAAACAAGAAAACAATGTTCATGATGGAACTGATTTCTTTCACAACCTAGCCTATTGCTTGAGCAAGCAATTGATCACTGAACAATGTATGACCTCAGTTAAACCAAATGGGCATTTCTTACATTATCGTATTCAATTTCTAAGAAAAATGTGTTATGTAGCATTGTGTGATCCTATGTTAGGTTGCAGCTCAGTTTTATGAGTGGATTTACATCTTTAAGGTAAAACTAATTTAATACAGTCACAAAACTGTTATGCAAGAGGAAATACTCAGTAATGGACTTTGGAAATGTAATGCCTCTTTGGGTCTGACCTTACAGTAACTCGAAAGATAGATTAATAAATTCCTGTAGAATGTTGTCAATGAATTAAGGTTTCACGTACTAAAATTGTTTGTTATGGAAGTTACGTTTTTGTAATAAATATAACTATGGATATGGGTATATAGGTATGTTAGGAATAGTTTTCTCTTGTAAGGTATGGTAAAATCATGTTGTGTGGTCCAGATTCACAGCCTAACAACATTGCATGTCAGATATCTAACAAGAGATCATATATTCCACTTCCTCGCCCAAAATTTCTCAGAAAGCTAATGGAGTTTAATAAATGCTTTTGAAGCATCATTGTTCGTACATTTGGTTTGCATTTTCTGGTGATAAATGGATTAATCCTATCCTATTGATATAATGTGCATCAGGTGAATGGCTGCCTATCGTACTTTGACATAGTGCCTGATGGATTTTACCTAATTCATGGGATAGATCCGTATGTATGGACGGTGTGCACTGATATGCAAGAGAATGGTCGTATACCATCAATTGAATCATTAAGGTCTGTTGATCCTGGCATTGGTTCTTCTATTGAAGTGGTTTTAATTGATCGACGTAGTGATCCCAGCTTAAAGGAACTCCAAAATAGGGTCTTCAGCCTTTCTTGTACTTGCATAACTACAAAGGAGATAGTAGATCAGCTAGCAAAACTTGTATGCAACCGCATGGGGTAAGTTGTCTGTACATTCCATCCTCATCTTTCTGGAACATCTATGTTTGGCATTCATATGTAACTGAGTTCTTATTTCTATCACAAGGGGTTCAGCTTCTGTAGGAGAGGATGAATTTGTCCCCATATGGAGGGAGAGCAGCGATGATCTGAAAGATTGCTTAGGATCTGTTGTTGTTCCAATAGGCAGCCTTTCTGTTGGTCTCTGTAGACATCGTGCTTTATTATTCAAAGTAAGGTTCCTATTTAACATGATATATTCGTTATCCTTGGCAGAAATGTATTCAGTTTGATCTATTTTGTTGTTGGAGCTATTATTTTAAATAGAAATATGGAATTGTTCTCTCTTATTTATTATAAACAAAACTATTTTTGTTGTTTTTGCTGGTTAAACAATATGTAGTTTCATAAATTCATGTGTACTTTTGGTTTGAAATTTTAATTTGATAAGAATTAAGAGAAATTGTGACCCATATAAGGCAATCTTTGTGCGTTTAAAATTATTCATATGTTTCATGATATGATTCAAACAAAGTTCATGTCTGATCTTTGAAGGTGCTAGCTGACAGAATTGATCTATCATGTCGAATTGCCAAAGGCTGTAAATATTGCACAAGAGATGATGCTTCCTCTTGTCTTGTCCGGTTTGGGCTTGACAGGTATGCAGTTTTATTAACTATTGTATCTATTAATGTTACAAACTAGTAATGTAATTTACTTTTCAGAGTTGCATGGTGCATAACTGCATAAGTCATCCAAGTTACTGTACGGAAATAAGTTATTTATGATCTTTGTATCTGTTTGAATTTCTTAGTTGATGGTGATAGTCTAATCCAAGACTATAGATTCTGTATGCCTAAAAGAATTATATAGTAAAACAACATGATCAAATTAAATTTGGATATAATATTTCTCTATTTGGAGAATAGGATTGTCCTAAATTTCATTCCGTTGTTATCAAATTGGTGGAGACATATAACATGGTGTCTTTGTTTCACTTCAGGGAGTATTTAGTAGATTTGATTGCAAATCCAGGTTACTTATGCGAGCCCGATTCCTTGCTCAATGGTCCATCATCCATCTCAATTTCTTCACCGCTGCGCTTTCCAAGACTAAAACCAGTTGAACCTACCATTGATTTCAGGTCACTGGCCAAACAGTATTTCTCAGACTGTCAATCGCTTAATCTTGTATTTGATGAAGCTTCCGCAGGTGACTGTTTATTTTTCAAATCAATGGCACACCCGCATATACAAGTTCATGTTGTGGTGGCATATCTGTTCATTTTATCATTTTTTGATGATCAAGATTTTATTTCACTGTTATGATCTGCTTAGCATAACAGTTTGGAGTTTTATATCTGCTCGAAGTTTAATAATCTCAAGCTCTCAACTAAATTAATTAAAAAAGAGAAATATTTTCTGGGCATGCATATAACCAACTGGTGTTGTATTAACCATTTTTTTATATATATGATCAACTATTGAAATTTTTTTAATGACAATATGTCCTTGCTAAACCAGATAATATTAAGCATAGACATGGATATAGGATTCAGGTACAGTATGACACGGATACATCAATCAGGAGAATCCTAAAAGTAGATCAGGATAAGCCTGGATGCATCATGTATCTTTCTGTTCATCTACAGTTTGGAGAACCTGATAAAAACTATGCAAATAAAGTTGGATACATCAACATCTCACACCATGCTCTACACCCTTTGTGTTGATATTATATTTTCTCTGGTGTAGGTAGTACATTTAGGATTTTTTTAGGTACAACTTGTAAAAATCCTAATGGATATTCTTTGAGGATGATTCTGATTGGCAATTTTAATGTCAAACAACTGGGATGATTCTGAGCTCTTACAGAATTGATAAACGGAATGTCTATGTTTTTATTCTGTAAATTGGCATTCATCATCATGACATTCCAGTTCACGGATGATTGTTTTCCATCATCACAGGAAGTGCTGTTGACGAGGACAATAAGGAATTCTCTATGTATCCTAAACAGTTAGATAGGAAGATTACAGGTGGAAACAACCTTTTAATGGTTTCAAGTCTCAATGACAACACTTCTATGCACGCAAAAGTTTCTCAGCCAAGTTTTGAAGATAGAAATCCCCAATTATTTAACCATTCTCAAAACATTGTACACACACCAGGCATGGTAAAAGATCCAATCCCTCTAAAGCGTATACCACCCATAGGGCATAGAGATGTTTCAAGAGTGGATACAACTAAAGGCTCGAGGTTTGTCGAGGGAGTTCAACTGGTTCCTAGTAAACCAAGTAAAGAGCTCACATTCGATATAGAGGATTTGGACATCCCATGGAATGATCTTGTACTAAAAGAGAGAATTGGTGCAGGTATTTTAACCCCCTTTTTGGCTATCACTTAGAGTACAATCATGAAAGTCATTTAATAGCTTGGAGATGATAAATAAAAAAAGATAGCTTGAAGAGCTCATATTCTCTTCGTGCATTTCATAAAATTGAGTTTGTATATGAGGATGTAAAATCTGATATCGTGCATTTGCAGGTTCTTTTGGAACTGTTCATCGTGCCGATTGGCATGGCTCTGTAAGCACCTAATCTGTTTATACTCTGTGCTCATGAAATCTTATTTTTATCCCTTTATTCATAAGACTGATAAAAAATTGTACTTTTAAGGATGTTGCTGTGAAAATTCTTATGGAGCAAGACTTTCATGCCGAACGCTTTAAAGAATTTTTGAGAGAGGTATGTAATAGCAACATAATTGAAAATTTAAAAACATAATTGAAAATTTAAAAACATAATTGATTGCAGTGTGAATTTCTTTGTCGTGATTTTGATATGCAGCGTGGCTTTTTCTGTTTGCTAGGTTACTATAATGAAACGACTGCGGCATCCAAATATAGTTCTCTTTATGGGTGCAGTTACGAAGCCCCCAAACTTGTCCATTGTGACAGAATATTTATCAAGGTTTTATGATTTTCCTCTTACATCCACTCCTTCCCCTACTACCGCCCCCTCAAATAGGAACTTGATGCCTATTAGACATTTAGGCTGCATCAAGAGCTTTTACAATTGTTTAATGATCTAAATTATGGGCTCTAAACTGCAGAGGTAGCTTGTATAGGCTTTTGCATAAACCTGGTGCAATGGAGGCATTGGATGAGAGGCGCCGGTTGAATATGGCTTACGATGTGGTGTGCATTTGAAGAATCCATATTTTTTTTCTTTTCTGTGGCTTCTTATTCTTCCTCTCTCTTTATGTATTTAAGTTTTTATTCAATACTTTTGGCTACATGATTTGAATTGTTTCACACAGGCAAAAGGAATGAATTATCTTCATAGACGCAATCCTCCTATTGTTCATCGAGATTTAAAATCTCCAAATCTGTTGGTGGACAAAAAATATACAGTGAAGGTGAGGATCCTTAAGCTCACCCACATTTATTTTGCTTGTGGTTTGGTGCTGGGAATGCATTATCAATTTTATCTTGATGTTTAATGATCTTGGTGAAAGAATCTTGTTGCTTCATGATTTCTCATGGCTCTTATAAGTTCAATTTTTAGTGGCATGCGCCCCACTATTAAGTACTTTTATGTATTTGGAATGGAGCATGACTATAAGCTTACCTGCATTTATTTACTTACTGTAATATTGCCATTTTGTTTATACAATTTGTCTTGCCTGTTCATTTGTAGGTTTGTGACTTTGGTCTTTCCCGTTTAAAGGCAAACACTTTTCTCTCATCAAAGTCAGCTGCTGGGACTGTAAGTTCTTTAAAACTAGACAAGAACCTGAAGGTTATCATTTTAAGGTGGCTTTACATGTTCATGACAATTGAAAATTGAAAATTATTAGCCGGAATGGATGGCACCGGAAGTCCTGCGTGATGAACCGTCAAATGAGAAGTCAGATGTTTACAGTTTTGGTGTAATATTGTGGGAACTAGCTACACTGCAACAGCCGTGGGGTAATTTAAATCCAGCACAGGTTTGTTTTTCATGTTAATAAGTGGAATGATGGAAGTGTACATCCGTGCATATAATCTGTGTTATGCTCTTATATTTAGAACGGGGAATGTGACTATGAAAATGTTTTACATTATTCTTTCCAGTTTCTCCTTAAGTTGAGAATTTTACTGAAATGTGTATGTTGTATACTTTTACATGAGTTCATACATCATGATGATACATAGTGTTTCTTTTATATGTTGTGTAGGTTGTGGCAGCTGTTGGTTTTAAGAACAAAAGGCTTGAGATTCCACGTGATTTGAATCCTCAAGTGGCTTCGATCATTGAGGCTTGCTGGGCCAAGTGAGTTTGAGATTCTAATTTTCATATATTAGATTAACTTCTGTGTGCAAATCTCCCCTTTCAATACTTTTCTTTAATAACAATGGTCATACTGCAGTGAGCCCTGGAAACGACCTTCATTTGCTAGTATCATGGAATCTTTGATGCCGTTGATTAAAGCTCCTGCGACTCAACCTAGTCGTCCAGGCGTGCCATTACTCAGCTGAATGGGCGAACGCTTATTCATGCACATAATACAGCATTCTTTTGAGAAGTGATGTCTGGCAGGCATGCATGCTGTTCATAGTCTCGGGTATGCCTAAAATTTCCATTTCAGTTTTCCAAAATTGAGTAGTGCCCTATTCTTGGACTAGTAATGACATAGGTGTCTTAAGATTGATATAGAAATAGTGAAGCTTGGGATCTTTATACAGCCACACAATTTCAACCTGTATGCAATTCAAGTTTAACCTAATCCAACAGCGTGTAACTTCATGCGGTGTGCATGGAATCCTGTTGTCTCTTTCTTTATATGCCAGTTGAGCAGTATAGCATGTAACTCCATGCTTTCTGTAATCATCATGTGCATGCAGCCTGTGCGGACTGCAGCCACTTTTGTGTGCTAATTGGAACAGCATGCAACTTCATGCTTCCTTTAAAAGTCATGTGTTGCCTGCTGGGACTGTGACCTCACTAATCAGAACATCATGTAACATCTTCCTCTAGTAGTTTGTGGATACAAACCTGTTAGGATTGTCATTTAACTGCGCGTGCACATGCACGCGCATTTACCAGCTGCTGGTAGCTGTGGATAAAATGCCGTTCAAATTTGGGTTTCGAGGGCTTGCAATAAAACTTTCTATTTACCCTGAATGCATGTGCTATCTGCACGCTTAAGTGTTGTTTACTTCAAATAATTTTTTTTATTTCTTTTGCCTGGTCAATTTCCTGTATATTAAACTTGTATGTGTAAATTTCTGATGCTTGTTCTCTGGCTGCAGAACCATTGTACAGTTCTGTTCTAATCTCCAATTCAGTATTCTTTATCGCTATCTCTTCTTACCCATAGAAGTCCACCGAAAAACCGTCCTGTCACGCCATCTTGGGAAAGTTGTATCATTTCTATTCATAATTTTTGTATGTAAAAGAGTGCGACTAGAATCAGGTAGCAGCTTTCCCATCATGGTACACAACTTGACGTTGTCTTTCAACATGTAATGACTTTGTATAAATTGTGAAGGTTAGTCACTCAGTTTAGCAGGTTTCTATTTTTGCTCCCCAAGTGCAATGGAGAAAACAAAAGTAGAAAGCTAATACATACTCTTTTAGCATCTCTACAATGGTCTGATTGATCATGGACGCATCGTCTTGTGATCATTTTTTTCAAGTAGTTTGCAGCATGTTGCAGATTATAATAAGCAGAGAAATTATCTACTTAAAGTAGTTTGCAGCAAATTTTTCCTTGTAATTTATAGTAGGAATTATTGAGCCATGTGCTTTTATTCGTTTTGCTTTGCTTAAAGAAGCCCAAAAAAGTTTGCAAATCAAATCCTAATCTTATAGAATGCAGACTTTGCACGCCTATTAGCAATTTTTCAACGAAATGTGGAATATTATATTATAGGACCGTGAGTGGGCAGGCAGAGTAAGAAGTTTCTTACCAAGAACGTGGGGAGATTTTCCAATAAGTATTTTAAGTCAAGGATTGGTTATATGCTTCCAATTTTGGATGTTGGATTGCATTTATTAAAGGTGTTGGTAGTCTTTCCGATGCAATTCAACGGTCGAAATTAAAAGTATGTAATCAATTCTCAACTTAAATACTTATTGGAGAATGTTCTAATAACGTGAATGAGCAAAAGCTTGCTTAACAGTGATATATTAGAAGTACTTGTCCGGAGAAATATTATAAAATTATTTCGACCCAAAAAAGAAAAGGTATTAAAATTTTGGACCTCTGTTTCCGGTCGTTGAATTTTGAACAAAATGAACTTGCTGAGCAGGCAGGCATACGTGTGAATAGTATAATGTAGTCATTTTCGAAGAGGTGACCAGTGGGGTGGTGAACGTCAATAAAACCAGAAAATTATGAATACTTAAAATAAAAAACACCAGATAATGCAAGGCACCCACTCAAATTGGAGTAAATGATTTAGGTGCACAAAATTACTAAAACACCCTTGTTTCGTCATCAAACTTAATGAACTTTTAGATGGAGTCGACTCTTAAAGTGGGATTTGATCAATATTTCTTGGTGATTTGTAACAATTATGCCTAAATTGTAAGCTAATCATCAGTTTTCAAGACACTTTGAGATAGGACGCTCTGAACGACATTTGAACATGGAGTGGGCAGAGCTCCACAAGAGCAAACATATAATTGTGGATCATAACTAAAGACGGCCCACCTTTTTTGACGTACGTAAGTGGGCAAGTGAGCAAGAGTCAAGACGAAGCTTATTATTGGTTGAATAGCTGAACTACATATTGAACTACCTAAGGAAAAGAATTGTTGTGTAAATCTTTCCACACATGACATGATATTAGTCTTTTTGCTCCAAAGCCAGGTTTTACATCAAAGCGTCTCCACTTGATTTGTTTGTCTGATTCTAGATATATAGCCCATGGATGCTTTATTGCTGATGTTTCCTTCGAACCATTGATATAGGGGAATTCAATTGTAAAAATAGACTTCTCAACTTTTTAATTAACATATGTCCTTGTTCGGACAGAAATGAAGGTGCAGAGAGAGAGAGAGAGAGAGAGAGAGAGAGAGAGATATACCAGAGAAGTAAAGAGGGAAAGAAAAAGATGAGGAAGAGAGAGAAATGGAGAGGTTCAATTTGGGTCGGTGAGACACGGGGAGTTGGGTGGGTTACGGGGAGTTAATTCTGTTGTATAAAGGTTGGATTTTCAACTATGACTGGAACGAATAGAGGGAGCTTGGGGATTGCGATGGGAAGGGGTCCAAGTGCTTTGAGGCACGTGTCTCTCGCATGACTTTTTTGACGAAATTGTCTCAAAATGGTTGCAAGATTGACTATTTATGAGTGATCGACAAAAAAAATAATTGGGTGCTGTGGAGGCCTAATTTGGGCTAACTTGTGGCGAGTATTCTCCCAAGTACGCTTCAAGATATGGCAGTTGTGGGAACTCATCAACCAGCTAACTCAAAGTTAAAGAGTAGACGACCAAAACAATTTGGTTGGACAAGTCATCAACCAGATTGACTTGGTTCAATACCTTGGCCTTGGATCCCAAGGTGAAGTAAGAAAGATGGACGAACGCACTGATATGTAGTTTGAGAGGTCCCAAGCAGGTAGCATAATCGAGCAGGCAAGAAAAAGGACAAGAACGTGATGTTCAGCATGTAGGCATGTCACAAGCATTTGCGAACGGTCAAGTTCGAATTGTGTGATAATTCATTGTGAAAAACGACAGTTTACCATTATAACTAACACTATATGGTTAATTAAGATCCTCTAACACAATATTTAAAATAAAAAAGTAAAAAATAAAGATCCTCTAACACAAGATTGAATCCCCATATAATAACCACTAATTATAAGATAAACCTAGGACAACAACGTCATGAGTATATCACTAAAGAAATTTTTTTTTCTTTTCATTTTTATAAGTACAGTTATTTAATAGATTTTTGGACGGAACTTGACAACACAAACTACTTTTGAGCACGAAAATTAACCTTGAGGCCCATTAATCACACAAAAAACGTTAAAAACACAACTTAGTAGTTTCGTTAACCTCATGTTTTGTGATAATAATAATGAAAAAAACCCTTTAAGAAAGGTTTAAATGATGTGGACATTTTTTCGGTTTAATGTTTAGCCACGTCCTCCATTTTAAGGACTTGTGGAAAGCAAGTGTCTATTCTATCCCTTCTTTTGTTAGTCACTCACTCCTATAAATACGTAATAATCGATGTGCTAGAAGAAAGTATAATTTCAAGTACAAACACTATGGAGTTGGAGGAATTGGAAGGACAAGAGCCAGTGAGTCCAAATGGTCAGTACTTCAGTAGCAATGTGATATCTCTATCGGTTCTTGCTGTTTGGGAATTTGAGATTCCATTCGATCTCGAGTCTCAAACAATACCGTTGCTTATTAAGAACGTCTTCCTCCCCGTCAGCCCTCGTTTCTCCTCTATCATGGTATGCTCTCTCTCTCTCTCTCTCTCTCTCTCTCTATTATATTTTTTATATTTTTTATAAATACTTCTTCTTTCTGTACATCTCTCAATGAGTCAGAAAAATATATTATTTTTAAAAATTAAATGTACAATACACATAATCTTCATGTTTAATATAAGTATTTTTTTACAAACTTTTCAATAATAGGGAAAAATTCATGTACACATATACGTAATTGTCACATATTATTGAATAAAAATAATATATATTTTATTTGGAAACAGGTTGAAAATAATGGAAAGAAAGAGTGGAAAAGGGTGGAAGTGAAGCTTGAAGACCACCTTTACACCCCCACTTTCCCTTCCGGCCTGTCGCTTGAATCATACGACAAGTATTTTGACGACTATATTTCAAAGCTATTAACAGAAAGATTTCCACAAGGCAAACCACTATGGGAAATTCATATTATCAACTACCCAACTAGCAATGCAGCTGCTAATGTAATCTTCAAGTTACACCATGCGCTTGGAGATGGTTACTCTCTCATGGGTGCCCTGATTTCTTCTATGCAAAGGGCTGACAACCCTTCTCTTCCCTTAACTTTTCCTTCGCGGAAGCGATCCGAATCAAAGAGAGAAAATTTTGTGACTAAAACTTTCTCAGGTTTCTGCAACACCATTTCAGACTTGTGGTCGGGCACTTTAAAGACCATGAACGGAGATGTTCTAACACCAATCAGGTCTGGTAATGATGCAATTGAATATCGGCCAGCAACTGTATCAACTATGACATTCTCTCTTGATCAAATCAAATCAATCAAGGACAAGCTTGGAGTGGTAAGATGAATCAACTATTCTAGGATTTTGTCTGAGGAATGTCATATATATATATATATGCAATTATATTTCTCTCTCATGCTTCATTTACTTAAGGCACGGCCCGCTCTGACTTTAGAGTGGTCACGTGTGAATTCCGCTCTGATTTTTTATCGTAAAAATGTCACCTAGACTTCTGCCTCAGTTTTAATTTGTTACCTTAAAGAAAAATTAAAGAGAAATGTCATTTTAATTTTTCAAATTCCATGATTTGTCATCTGACTTTAACACAATCTAGTTTTCCATTCATTTTTAAGAGTATTTTAGACTTTCCATTTTCCGAAAAAAAAAGAAAAAAAAAAGAGAAAGAAGTGACATCTCCCTTTCTCCCCCAACCCAACCCCACTGCCCCCAAAACACATCGCACAGGACCCCTCCCCCCCCTCCTCTCTCTCTCTCTCTCTCTCTCTCTCTCTCTCTCTATGGTGTTAATTGAGCATGGAAAAGGAAAAATGTCAAAAATAAAAAAGAAAAAGAAAAGGTTGGACTCGATTTGGGTGGCCTAAGGAATTTTTTTGTGTGGATGGTAGGTGTTTCATGGTAGATAGAGAAGAGGAAGGGCCTGTGAAAAGGGAAGGGGGAATGGATTTCAAAGTGAGCGGGGTTGGTTGAAGCTGCTAGTGGCGCAGGGGAGGGGGAAGGTGATATATATATATATATATTTCAATTTTAATTGTTTAAACGATATAAAAAAAAATTATTATGATTTTTCTATTTTTAAAATACCCTTGAAAACGGAAAGACTAAAATACCTTTAAAATGTATGAAAAATTGGATGGTGTTAAAGTCAGATGAAAAATCATGGATTTTGAAAAATTAAAGTGACATTTCTCTTAAATTTTTCTTTAAGGTGACAAATTGGATAAACCTAGGACATTAGAGCATCCACAGTGGAGGGGTGTATTTTCGAGGGTGTAAAGTCACTTTTACATTCCCTTTACACATTCGGGGGGTGTAAATACATTTTTTGCTCCAATGGTAAAGGATGTAAATCTTTATTTTTCCTCTCTTTTCTCGGGTGAGTCCCGCATGCAAAGGATGTAAAAATATATTTAAATGTGCATTTTATTTTACTGTGGATGCTCTTACATTCTAATTAGAAAATAAAAGCATCCTTATAAAGTTGGAAAAACTGTGACTATTTAAGTGGGAAATAAAGTATTGTTTGAGTGGGAAGTCATTTAAGAAATAACGAAATTATGCATTTCTTGCATATTCAAAATAAGTCACGTAATTTGAGAAATTGATCAATAAATACGGTAGTCCACATGCAATTCTCAATACCGTTTTTTTCACTCTTGCATAC